TAGATAGACACATTAGTTTTATTTATAACAGCTATCTCTATTATTGTTCTTAACATGAATCTTATCGAGGTTAAGGTATTACTTCTAACGATCGCTTTGTACTCGGTAAGTACTCAGGTATATTACAACAACAGCTGGTGGTTGGTACCTGCACTCATTCTCTCTTTTTCTGTTCGAGTAGGCTAGTACACTTGGTCATTAATAAAACTGGCCTAAGCTCGTAACACTTACAGCTTTTAAAAACAGACTTCGATAATTCGTTAAGTTTACGGTAGGCCAAGTTCGTAAGTCGACATGCTTAATCGTTATTATTTATTATCCAATAAACCATACATAAATCGTATTACGTGCCATAAAAGAATTTCTCTTTCATTTTTTTTTTTTTTTAGATATTATATAAAATTACTTATATACAAGGTCTTTCAAAAGTTGTTTTATAGAGAAATGAAATGAATTAAATAAAACATCCAAGTTGGCTTATCAATAAAATTGTTAGATATATTTGTCCTTCTTTTTTAAAGATATTAATTTCAAATTACAGGCGGCCTCCGATTTTCGCATAATTCGCTATTTCGCACATTTTTAGATTCAATTATTTAATTCTCTGCGATTGGATATCCCCTCTCAGGGGACATAATACTAGCCATCAGATGACAATGTTGTTCGGATAAAGAGAACAAAATAGTTTCAGTCTTGTATTAGAGCGTGCGTTAACGTGTTTTGCTAATTTAGATAAATACTTTAAAACACAGTTTTTGGTGCATCTTTTGTTACATCCCTGTATTTTCGAACATTCAACATTCGCGCACACTTTCAGGAACCAATTATGTGCGAAAGTAGAGGACCTACTGTACAGTGTTGTTAAGCTCAAGACTTGTTAACCTACCACTGTATAAATAACAATAAAAAAAAATAATTGAATAAATAAAAGAAACAAGATTTTGATAGGAAAATAAAGATCTGAATATATCTACCTTGAAAAATACTGTTAAAACTTAAATGCAAGTTTTTATCATTCCTTCCTCTGTCTCTTTTTGTCTCTTTTTCTCACAGACGTATAAAAACCCATACACATACGATATTACCTGCACGCTCGTTAGCTTTTATATAAACGAAATGAGCTCACGATCTTAACCTGAATGTCATCTGTGTGGTTTTAAAATCGTTTAATTTCTCGCAACTTCTCTCTTGGCTGCTTTAAATTCCATTAAAAAGAGAAAAAGAGCAGCAGTCTGTCTTACTCTTTCTCTTTCTCTTTCTTTGGTAAAGATAGTTCAAACTCTTTTAAGATAATTACCACGTAGAAGTTATGTATATACAACCTACGTGTAACTAACGTAGACAATCTCCTGCTACGATCTGATTCGATATAATTAGATAAAACGTTTAACGCGCGTTAATGGGATGGGGCAAAGACAAATCGCCTTTTACGAGCTGCCACGAGGGAATCGCTCGATCCCTGCTATCACCTCCCAACTTGCTCACCATTTGATTTAAGTGCCTTCGTTACGGCCAATCGCCTTCTTACCGAGACGAGTTCTAATTTAAATAAAATATATCTGCCTCCCCTTTACCACCCTCCTTCTATCGAATTCCTCGCTTTTTAATACGTATCTGTGTATGTTAAGCAATTTCTTTTTTGTTTTTTTACAATAATTGATTCTCGCGCTAATTGATGATAATTACTATTATTATTACCATTCTTATCGCTACCGGATCGGTCAACTTGTTATTGAAAATTTTTGTAATATTAAAAATTGTTGGTTTTATCTATTTCCTTTTTTTCTGATATAAGATATGTAATATTTTGAATAAAAATTTGTAATATTAATGATTGTGGTAATTTTTGTGGTCTTGTATAAGTATAAAAATATGATATTTTTGATACGGATTATCATCGTCATCATCATTCTTATTATTTATATGTTCGGAAATATTTTTGTATGATTATCGTAAGACTAGTTAATTAATTATTTTTATAATTTCGATATATTAAATGACAAATAGAACGACATTTTTGAAGTAATAGTCGACGTTGAACTCACCGTCCATTGTTCGTCATTTGCATGAAATAACACTCATCGTGTTATAATTATGAGGATCTTTTTAAATGCCGGAATATCTTGAGCATCTATTCGCGTGTTCGAAAATGTTCGAAAATAATTCACTTTGCGCGTTAAGTAATTGTAAGTAATGTGTTAGAGGTATGGAAATGATGAAAATAATATGGTATTGTCGTGATTAAATGTTCATAGGTTAATATTTCAAATTGTCCATTACAAAAGAGATCGAAGATATGCTTCAATCAGATTAGAATAATCTTAGAACTAGTACGAGTTTGATCACGATAAATTCACTTCCAAGTCTAAATATTTATTCATTTTTACGAGTCATGCTGATTTGTAATATGTGGATGAAAAAAAAATCTTCACAGAGGCCCCAAAAAGTTACTTTAGGAAATTATAGATTTTGAAATTTATCTACGGCAGGTATTTAAATATAAGACACAATAAATTAACCCATACTTATTCAAGAACATTGTAGCTGGAAGATTCATATCTTTGAATAAAAAATTAACAAAATAATGAAATTCTATTAGTTAAATTAATTTTGATAATTTTTTGTGAAGTGTAAAGTTTCTTTTGGGACATCCTGTATATTGGTATTAATAAATTCCTAAATTGAGTTACTCGAGTAATAATTGAAATCGATTAGAAGGATTGACTCACTTAAGAGAAGACAAGAATATCGATAGCTCTTGTAGGATAATTCATCCTTTTCTTAAAGCAGTCCTTAAAAAAGGATGAAAGAAAGAGAAAGAGAAGAATAGGAAAAGGAATGGAACATATCCGACGGTGTTCGTGTAAATTTTCTTTAGGATGCAATTCGTGACGTTTATCTTGGACAATTGCATCCATGACGAACAAAAAGTGGATAGGGAAACAAGAGAGAAAAAAAGAGAAAGACAGGTAGAGAGATAGAGTGATATATACACATATATATAGACAGAGGAAGAAGATAAAAAATTGAAGAAGGAAGAAGATAGGAGAAGTTGGGAACTCGAAGAAATGAATTAGCCAGCTGGATCTGGTCAGACAAGACGTCACAGTGGGGAGGAACAAAAATATGGAGTAGTGGTCGTCTTCAATGTGGTAGGGGTAGATTGTGGGCGTGACTATCATAGGGAGGGGCAAGAATGTGGGCGAGACTCGATCGATGTTTGATAGTGGGGATTATTTAGACCCTTAGGAGGGGGAGAATTAAATTTTCTCATCGCATTGGCGCAGAATATTCCACGTATCTTCTTAACTTTGTTTTTCAGTCTATCTTTCTCTCTCTGTTTCTTTATTTATCTCACTCTTTTTTATTTCTGAAAGTAATTAAAAAAAAATAACAAACGTAAGACAAAAAAAAACAATCAAACCACGAACTTAATCGAATAATAAAAAAAATATTTGATCGAGCCTATAGAATTCATTTTTCCTTTTAAAATGGATTCCAATACTTATTATTCGCATAAGTTTTGACATATAAAATCATTTAGATGGCATGCATATGACTCTCTTCATAATATTGCAAAAAATGAGATGACACGATTGTCGTCGATCTATCACGGCTATCAAGAGGCGAATACTATCGATTCGTTCCACACCAAGATAGAATATTTTAATCGAAGTTGATCGTCTTGTCTAGTCTCCTCCCGTCTCGTCTCTTATACCGAAAGATTTATAACATGAGTTTAGAGATAAAAATTCAAAGAGAAAAATAGAGATAGGATATTATAAATAGATGCATATACAGATAGATGGATAGAAAAAGAGAGAAAGAGAGTGAGTGAGAAAGAAGAGTGTGAGTACATAGGTTAGGGTTGATTTTCTGGACGAGTCCCCTACTACCGGTGCCATTGGTGCTAGTAGTGGGGGTAAACGCAAAAGGAACCTCGCGGTAGGGTGATACGTTCTCCAGTGGGCGGAGTTTACGAGCTGAGAGTTAATAGAGATACAATCGAAGGGTGTCTAGTGCACTGCACTCGGAGTTCTCGCGTAGGAGGAGTGAACAGGGGTATTCGGGGGGGTATTAGAGAGAGAGAGACAGAGAGAGAGAGATGAAAGGAGAGAGGGAACGAGAGGACGAGAGAGGAACGGGAAAGCCCGTAAGTAGGGACTCAGAAGTCCCCTAGTTTAGACATCACTGAGCGACGGATGGACAGCCAGTCAGACCCGTCACAGCACTCGCTAAGAGTGCTCGGAAACCTCGGGAAAAGCCTCCATCTAAGACTCGCGTTCTCTTTTCTTTGGACACGATCCAGGTTCAATTTTGAACCAGAAAGAACAAAAGAGAGACAGAGGGTGAGGGAGGGAGAGAGTGAACGAAAGATAAACAGAGGGTGGGAGAAGGAGAGAGGGAAAGGAAGAGAGAGAGAAGGAGAGAGAGAGAGAGAGAGAAAGAGAAAGAGAAAGAGAAAGATAGTATGAATATTTTGAAGATTACAGTAGAGAGTATCATTTCAACTTAAATTTGTTTTGAATACTTTACGATGACACAATATTGTTTCTTTGAGATTACTGTCATTGAAATTATCCTGTGACGTTTGAGAAAAACAAAGAGAAAGAAGAAATTATATATAGAGATATATGTACATATATATAGAGATATATATGTATATATGTATATCTCTATATTATATATATAATTTATATAATACATATATATATATAAAGAGAGAGAGAGGGAGAGAGAGAGAGAGAGAGAGAGAAAAAAAAAGAAAGAGAGGAAGATAGAAATAGAGACAGAAAGGGAAAGTGTGTTTCTTGAAGGACAGTCTGTGACAAGAAGAGAATTACAAAGAACATTAGTGTCGTGGAGTGATATTCACTTGATTGTTTTAAATATAGCATTGAAAAGCTGAAGATTTCTTTTCAAGTGAAGGAAAAAGGAATATTAAGGACAACAATTGACTTGGAATAAATCATCGAAAAAGTAGTGTTTTTTTCGTCAGTATGGGTATTCTTTTTGGATTGGGGAATGTTAGTCCTCCTCGTCATCATCATCATCATCATCATCATCATCATCATCATCATAATCATCCTCATCGTGATAAATCAATCGAAGACGCGGATAAACTGGATAAACTTAGTAAGGAAGAAAATGAAGAAACAGCTTTAAGATTTAGCGTTGATAATATACTTCGGCCCGATTTTGGAAAGAAAGCTATTTTAAATACAAAAGGAACAGAAAAAATCAGCTTAAGTGTGCCCACGTACCACAATTCCACAACATCTATTCCAGTTCCACGTGATCTTACTGTGAGCACATCGTCGGTAAACACAATTAACAATAGGTTATCCCCACAATCCTCTCATATTTCGCCTCTTGTGAATCGGGAAAGGGATTCTTCTTGTCCGTCGCATTGTGGTCTCAGTAGAAGTGGAAGCGTAGAAAGTCTGGTTAGTCTGGCGAGTCTGGCAAGCAATAGGAGCTCAGTGACAGGTAGCTCTATCACAGGTAGCACTCCTTCCTTGAGTTCGGTTTCTTCTACTGTCGGAACCGAATCGGTTAGCGGTGAAAGTGCGACTACTAACGTCAATAACCTTACACAAAATGGAAACAATGGAACTCTTTGGCCTGCCTGGGTCTACTGTACGAGGTACTCCGACAGACCCTCTTCCGGTGAGTCCCATTCAACCTTTTCTTTCCTAGTTAAAATCGATCCTTTATAAACTTTTACCATGAAATAAGCAATCCTGGTGATCACAATAATCTATAAATACATGAATAATGGAATATTCCTTCAAGAAAACCCAAGTATTTCTATTACTCTACAGGTCGTATATATATATAACACAGTTTGAACATAATTCTAAGTCTTCTAACACTTTTTTAGGACGGAGGGTTGACGTTCGATACCACCTGTCTTTGTTCGCAGGACTTAATAGTCTAGAACCTATATCCTCCATTTACTATTTCTTATTTTCTTTTTTTTTTCTTTTTCTATTTCTTTCTCTCTCTCTCTTTTTTTCTATCTTTCATTCTTTACGATTACCGGCTGACCCACATATATGCACTATTACACCTCCGCCACCTTTACCACCATCAGCAACCTCTCGATCTTCGCACCGGGGTGGTCCGGAGCTTTCACGATGCCGATAAACGTGTTTACTAATTACACACTCCTATCGGACTTGTATTTCTACACGAGCCTCGAGATTGAACTTTCCTTTAATTAGGTAAATGCAAAACAGTAAAAGAGAGAGAGAGAGAGAGAGAGAGAGAGAAATAGAAACGGAGATTAAATAATAGATTCTAATCAGAGATTTTCTTTTTATCTAATAGTTTTCAAATGGATTCTTATACGGTTAGGTGTGTTTAGTTACGATATCGAAAATATTTCATTTATTTTTCGATAGCGTACTTCATACAATCCCCTAACCTTTTCCCTATCTTCCTTCCTTCCTTTCGTTATGGTCAAGATCGAATAGGAAGGCGCGAATGTAAATCGTTGATAAATATCGAGCATCGATGTCCCGTCGCGATTAATTATTTATTCCACGAGCGTGCAAATTAATTTGATACGCTGCTAATGAACGCGATGGCGTGCACAAAAGTTGTATATCATGAGTACGCTTTTTTAATCAAACTTGACGCTCCGAATTTATATGTTTTATCAAGCTTTTCTTATATTTCTTTCTTTATTTCTTTCCTTTATATTTATAAATATATTTATATATTATGTATATGACTCATTTCTTCGAAAGCACATTCCACAAGAGAAGTTTAGTATTCCAGCATTTAAATTTCGAAATTGAACATCGGACTTATAAATATTCATCGACAAACTATCGTGTGTTCATAGTTGACGAGAAAATATACGTGAGAATTGTACGAACTGTTAACGATCGTAAACAGATATACGAAAATTTAGAAATACTTTTCGGCTACCGAATTTTTGATCAGAGATGAAATTCTTTTTTACGATAATTTCGTTAAATATTTTACATACTTAATTTATAGCTTTTCTATTTTTAAAAGGGAATAAAAAGATTTTTTTGTGTGAATTTTTGTGTAGGGCCAAGAACGAGAAGAGTGAAACGTTCACAAGGTGGTCCAAAGAGTGGATCCCCCGAGGAGAAACGACCAAGAACGGCATTCAGTAACGAACAATTGTCAAGACTTAAAAAAGAATTTGCTGAGAATCGATATTTGACTGAGATACGAAGGCAACAACTATCGAGGGATCTTGGATTAAACGAGGCACAAATTAAAATATGGTTTCAAAACAAGAGGGCTAAGATCAAGAAAGCCAGTGGACAGAAAAATCCATTAGCTCTACAGTTGATGGCCCAAGGACTTTACAATCACTCAACTGTACCGGTCGATGAGGATGGCGAAGAAATTGTTTCACCTCAAAATAATTCACAGTGAAAAGGAAATAAATATATAAAAAATTTATAATTGGAACAATTTTAGAGATACTGTCTCTAAAAATTAGATATATATAATTATATTTAATATCATAAATTTTTCATTTGTATTTATGATCAACAAAGAATATGAAAAGGATAGAATATGAAATTTAACTTTATGAATTAAAAAAATTAAATTAGATGCAATTTATCTGAGATATTAATCAGCTATATTTGTATTTAGATATTAAAATATTCATTTTAGATTATTTTATTTTAAAGAAATTTTAATTTGTTAATAAAATTCTACATTAAAAGAAAATAATCGATAGAATTAATTGTTAAAAAATAAAAAGAGTTTATATTTTATAAATGTAAATTCAAAGTGTTTCGTTAATTTTTCAATTATTTATTATCTTCTTTGTGAATAAATTGTAAATATATTAAATAAATTGTAGGTAGTTATGTAACTAGTTTTGTGCATATGTATGATAGGAAATTAATTTTAGTAGCAACATGTCGCGAGTTATCAAGCTAAGTAAATGTATGCATGTCTGTATGTATGTGTGAATGTATGTATACATGTATGTGTATCGTTTTAAATGAATAAGAAATGATCTCACCTTGTATATTCTTCCCTAGACTTACGTTACCTTATTGAATTATATGTACACGCATTATAGTTGTAGAATTAAATTTTTTCTGTAATGTCTAATACAATCACTATAACATGTCTCTCGATAGTTTTTTTAACGATCAATGTGTAATCCTTTTATTCTAATGTCGCTATCATATTCGTTAATGATTAAATCCATTTAAATGATACCAATATGTTTCTACTAGATTATAATATCCAATCCTTTGAATTAATTCTGATAAAATATATTAAATAAATAAATAAATCAATAAGTAAATAATAATAATAATAAAATATATAAAATAAATTAATATAAAATATATTTTATAATTTATATATAATATATTATAATAATATACGACAATGGCTTAAAAAGTTTTGATCCTCTATAAAAAAAGAAATCTTTTATGTTATTTTTAAATAAAGTGAGTTAGACCGAAAAAAAATTCTTTCTATGTTAAATTCAAATCTTTTCAATTTATCCATGTATAAAATAAATAAACACAAAAAATATATCTTATATAATTAATAATATATAAAATAATCCATTATAAAATATATTTTATATTCTATAATAATATATATATATATTATTTTTAAATTATCTTACTGTTTATTCCAACATCTTTATTACAAGCGTTCATTCCAACATATTTATTTACACTGACTTATATCGATGTTTTTGAAATCACGTATGTCCTAAAGCATTCACACACAAAACTCTCTCACTTCTTCAAATACATACTTCTCTATATTGTTCATAGCAACAGAGGATAACATTTCTTATACTTTTACCTAACAGAGAAACATCTTCGCTTATCCTAAAATATCTATTTATACTTATAAGAAGGTCGTTTTTACCTTTTCTAGAACCATGTATTTTCTCTTAATATGTGAGAAACGTATTTATCCTATTCTCAAAATAGCTACTTAAAAAACAACTACAAGAAAACCATTGTCGTACATATCTAACGTAAGCATGACGCAATGAATTTACTTAACATTTTAACAATTACAGAATGAAGTACTATTATATAAATGAAACAAATAATCTCTTTAGAAAGGTAAATCTTTTATCGAATAAATTCTAATCCCATAATTAAAATAAACTAATTCGAGTAGACTTTATTTCAAAAGAGAAGGATGACAAGGTCGGTCGTTTGGTCGTCTTCTAATTGGTCCTAAATTACCGAGCCACCCAGTGTATTTTGAGGGAGAGAGAGAGAGAGAGAAAGAGGAGAAACGATAACTGGAACGTGTCGGTGATGACACTCGATAGGACTAGTTTAGAAACGTGTTTTGCGTAGATAGCAGTAGCGATGAACATGAGATAACCGATATATGTAGTATACTTGTTAAACGATGCCATATTACACGACTCTAAAGGATTTACGAGCATCCACCTTTCCCCTCTCTTTTTCTTGCTTTCCCTATTTCTCTCTCTCTTTCTTATTTTCTTCTTTTTATTTTTCTTATTTCACATCAAGCTCATGGTTGTCGTCGATGTCGCGACAATCCTGGTTTCACGAAACGTTGAAAGAACTCGGGGTGAATTATTACCCTTAATGCTAGCCCTTGATCTTTTACGAGAACACCATTCTCACCGTTTAAGAGAGAAACAGATAAAGAGAGGGAGAGAGAGAGAAAGAGTGTGTGTGTTATCTTTTTCATCATTAATTGCTCCTTTTTAGATCCTGTAAATTATCTACATACGTCTCATCTTATAAACTCTCCTATCTTATAAATAGTTAATAAATTATCTAGCTTGTTAAAAGAGTTATTTTTAATAATGATCTATAAAAAAACTATTTATATATATATATATATATATATATATATATATGTACATGAAATTTGTTCTTATTCGTTGAAAGTTTTTCTTTATGTAAGTATATTTTTTAATATTTTATTATTTAAATAAATTATAAAGTTTTTTTTAAATTAATCTTATATTTCTACATTACAAATTTTATATAAATTATAGCAAAAATTAAAATCGAAATAAAATAAAAATAGAAATAAAATTAAAAATTACCAATACTTGTTTAAACGTAAATCTGTATTCTTTCTTTTTTATAATTAATTAATAAATAATAATTTATATATGTATAATAACAATAAATTTTTAGTTTTAATATTAATTTCGATATTAACGAAGAACTTAAGAAAAGAATCAATCTAGGCAATTCATGTTTTTATTCGGTTAACAAATTACTCAGCTCGCGGTTGCTGTCTAGGCGATTAAAAATCAGGATATACAGGAAAATCTGCCGGTAGTCCGTTATGGTAGCGAATCGTGGTCGCTTACGTTACGGGACGAAAAGAAATTTAGGGTTTTCGAAAACAAAGTTCTTCATAAAATCTTCGGTGCAAAACGCGATGAGGAAACGGGCGAATGGAGAAAACTCCATAACGTTGAAGTACATTGATTGTACAACAAACCGGACATTACCAACGTCGTAAAATCACGCCGATTAAGATGGGCTGGTCACGTGGCGCGCATGGGGGAGGATTGAACGGCGCACAAAATATTAGTCGGTATACCAAACAGGAAAAGACCACTAGGTAGACCGAGATGTAGGTGGGAGGATAATATTAAAAGGGACCTGAAAGAAATAGGATACGAAGACCGCGAATGGAAGGATCGCGCTCAGGGACGGGAACAATGGCGGGATTTGGTATTTGCGGCAATGAACTTTCGAGTTCCTAATGCCAGTTAATAGTAATAATAATAATAATAATAATATATAAAATATATATTAAATATATCAATACATATACTTACGAAGATAAAAAAAATAAAAAATATGTGTATAAAAGATAAATATAAAAATAAATATGAGTAATATGAATTGAAAGGATTCATCGATCAAGAATTTAAACATCATTCAATACGAGTATTACTGGGACAAGTTATTTGTCAGATAATCAAGTTTAGATAGAAAGAGAATAAGAAATAAGAATTGTTCGGAACATTATTCTTTCTCTCTCTTTCTCTCTTCCTTGCGTAATCCCTTTACGAGCACGAATTAAAACGATGGTAGTCTTGATGCTCGGTGTTCTGAGGACCACGCTTCGCTTGTAATCTGACGTGCGTTCTAAACGCATACAACACATAAAACGGACAACAAGTATAATAATAAGAATAAGAATAAGAATAATAAAAATAAGAATAATAAGAATAATAATAAAAAGAAGAGAAAGGTAGTGGTACATAGGCTACATACTTGCGTGAATAAGTATGATGATGGATGATGAGGAACAACACGCGAATTTAGAATCGTCATCTGTCTGGTTAGCCACGAACGATCCTTTTACGATTTATTTTCTACTTCAATAATAATCCTTCCTTTTTTTTAATTTCTTTTATGATACTAATTTAGCAAGATTCGATATCATCTCTGAATATCTTTTCAAGTGATATAATCCTATTTACATATATATATTGTATATTGTGTGTGTACGTTTTTTATATTCAATTCTTTATACAGGACATTTTGCAATGATACGATTTCTAAGTTATAAAAGCTGTTAAGAAATCATTGATAGAGAGGATATTTAGTATTATAAATTATTTTCGATTAGTATCCATTCATTATACACATATTATAATATATTGTATAATAATTATATTTGTTAATTATTAATCAAACTACTATAAAATTAAAATAAGAAATTAACGAATAAAGATATTTACATTAATGCTCTATATTCTCTTATTCGTTGTACATAAGAATAAAGGCATAACTAATAACAATAATAATAATAATAACAATAATAATAATAATAATAATAATAATAATAATAATAATAATAATAATAATAATANCTAATAACAATAATAATAATAATAACAATAATAATAATAATAATAATAATAATAATAATAATAATAATAATAATAATAATAACGATAATAATAACAAAAAAGAAAAACACAAGATAAAAAAGGTGAAGAAATTACCGCGGAACTACTTAAAACCTGTCTTCAACTCTATGTGCAACTTGTTAAATACTCTTCGTGTTGCACGTGGAAGAACACGATGCTTTCCCCATTATTAATTATCATTAATCTAAGTGCGGAGATGAGCGTGGCGTGGGAAGGGATATTAGCAAGTAGGGTGTACATTAAAGAGAAAGAGTGAGATAAAGAGAGAAAGAAAGAAAGAGAGAGAGAGAGAGAGAGAGAGAAAGTACGGGCAGCGGCCCAAACCGGGGATAAATTACAGAGTCGTTGTCCTAGCCATTGTATTTAACTGCGGCGATGCGTAATTGCTGGAACGTCGTTGCACATATACGTACAAATGTTATATAAAGAGAGAAAGAGACAGATAGATAGAGTTGAGAGAGAGAGAGAGAGAGAGAGAGAGAGAGAGAGAGGGTGGAGAAAACGAGTTAGAGGTTACAGAAGAGACGGCAGGGACGCAGGGTGTTTAAAT